TGAACGCCTCACTCCGCAAACCTCGGGACATGAGCGTGGGCGGCTGTGTGGCAGGGCCTCCAGACTTGAGCCGAAATGGTCACTGAAGGCACTGCTTGCGGGGGCTGCGGTCCGGCCATCGAGGCTAGCTCGGCATCTGTCGCACATTACTTTTCGTTTGCCTTACCTTTGCTTTGCTTTTGATGTTGGTTTGCTTTGATGTGCGTTGTTTCTGCTTTGCTTTGCTGTCGCTGCTGTTGCTTTGCATTGGCTTTGCTGCTGTGCTATGCTATGCTATGCTGCGATGTGCTATGCTGTGCTGTGCTGTGCTATACGATGCTGTGATATGATATGCTGTGCTGCGCTATGGTACGTTATGCTGGGTTATGCTATGATATGCTGTGCTGCTCTATGCTATGCTACGCTCTGCTATGCTATGCTGTGGTCTGCGATGCTAAAGCTCGGCGGAGCTAATTAAAATGAAGGTAAGCTAAGCTAAGATAGCCTGAGCGAAGATGAAGCTAAGCTAATCTAATATGAAATAAGCTAAGCTAAGATGAGATAAGCACCGCTCAGTTAAGGGGACGTAACTGGGTGAACCGCGGGGCGGATGCTGGGGGAACCGCCCGGGGCGTTTTGCACTGCCCGGCCCCTTTAAGCACAGACGGTAAGAACCCTTCTAGGCAGAGAGAGCCTAGGTAGGGAATGACGCCGATATCTTAAACCAAGACGGTCTCAGCCAGAAATGATGAAAGAACATGTCGTGCAAACCACAACAGGTTGTTGGAACATTAGTTGGCAGGCCTGAAAGATAACCAGGACGCCTCGCCACTGCTTGAAAAACAGGGTCCTCGCTGAACAGCTCTGCTCTTAGAACCTCCGGACAATACACCAAGACGGATGGATGGCGGACCCTGTTCGAAACGGAGCTCCCGCCTGAATAGCAGACCCGCTGGACGCTCGTCTTTCAAGGGGGCGCGTGACGCAGCGAGGAGGACTATGTGTAGGTACTTTATGACGGGACTGGGCACGGGAGGGCGCACCGCAGCATCTTTAATGCACACTGGGTCTACCCTGGTCCTCGTTATCCTCCTCCTCCCTCCTCCTTCTCCTTGCTCCTTCTCCTTTCTTCCTTCCTTCCCTCCTTGTGCTCCTCCCCCTCCTCCTCAATTCTCCTCCTCATCCCTCTCATCCTATTCATCCTTGCCAGCCTTTCCCACGATATCACAGGACGCCGCCCGTCTCATACTTCCTCGGGTCTTGGCATTTCTCAGAAAGTCGACGCCTGGCGACGGATTGGGAGTCAAGCTGCAGGCAGCGACCATGGGAAGACGAGGGCATTGCTGAAATGATGACAATGATGGAGAGGGATGTGTGGCGAACGACGAGCGTGACCAGGTTCTAGATAAACCAAAGTTGGCGACTGAATGAAGTGATCTAGACTCCCAAGGGGTAGGCCTAGAAGGGCAATGAACCAGACTCTAGGCGGACCCAGAATGTGTGGACCCATGCGTCCTTGTGGGTGGGCACAGGAGGACGATGAGCCAGAATCTACGGCTGAATGCGGGATGCGGGGAGGCGGGAAGCGGGAACAGATGGAGACGCGAAGAGAAGCGAACGGAAAGACACGCCAAGAGCCTGACATGATTTCGGGCACAGGATGCTGCAACCGCGTGTATCACGCCCGCGGCGGGCATTCAGAACCAAAGGCAATTACCTCGTGGCTCGAACTGCCTCGAATGTATATGGATACCCGAGCCGTGCAGTAGACCCTTCGCATGCGCGAGGTCTGTAGGGGGAGAGGGACGTTGCGATGCCGATGCCTATTCCCTCGTCGCCGTGGACAGACGGGTCCTGGGCTTAGCTGTCCCGATACGCAACACGCAACACGTGCCGTATTGATACGGCGCTCCACACGTAGACTGGACACGTAGGTCTGACGCGATACGTTCGCCAAAACGTGGGCCAATACGTTGAGCCAACACGCAACGTATTGACACGGACGTTTCGAGCACGGTACGTGTTGCGTACAGAAGCGGGCGTATCGAGGCAGCTCGGGTCATGGGGGGGAACAAGAACTCATCCCGAATCTTCCGACTGAAACTCCCAACAAGTTTGCTTCCGCCCGTCTCGTGACGCTTGCGGCGCGCTCCTTACTCCTCAGAGTGACCCTCGGATGCGCAGCCACTGGATGAGGGGGTGAAGACATCCCAGCTGGCGGGGGGGGGGAACATGCGGAGCAACGATAGGACCCGCCACCCCGACAAGGGGCGTCAACGCTCCAGCGCACAACGGTCGGATTTGCCGCACAGCTTCTTGAGAGCTTCCAGGCGACCTGGGGGCCGCCCCTGACGGCCTCCAGGCGGCCACAGTGGCCCCCAACAGGGCCCTGGGCAGCCCAAGGCAGCGCGAAGAAGGCCCTACCAGGTCGAACCCCAAGGCAGCCCGAGACCGCCCCAGGACAGCTGACAGACTGCCCACGGGGTCACAAGACGGCTCCGACTCCAAGACGGCCTCAGAAGTCTCCCAGAGGGCTCCAAGACCTGCCCAAACGGACCCAAGACATGCCAACACTGCTCCAGGACGCCGACAAGCCCCGAACCCGCCACCCCAAGAGGCCCTGAGAGGTCGATTGCACTTGAAAGTCTGATTAATACAGAACATATACACATAGACAGATGTCTTCGCCCGGCAACAACATCTCCCTCTTTCTCCCTCTCCCCTCACACACACACACGCACGCGAACAAGCCTCCACAAAGTCCTGCGATCAAGACTACGTCGAATATTGAGGGCGGCCGGGAAGTCGCCCAAGGGGGGTACCGGCTTCTCCATCAAAGTGGCTCGCGTGGCCCGCTGCGTGGGGACACCGGGGAGGGGAAGGCGCTGACTGAGGCTGCCCCGCCTCCCCCAGTGGGCCGCAGGGCCGGGGGGGGACGAACGCGAACGACGAAGAACGTCCGAACGAAAATAAAGAGTCCGACGCTAGATACTCAGCTGTGCAAGAGAATAAAAGGGTCGGGGCGAAGGGGCGCTGGCGGGCGCGGGAGCCGCGGGCCTGAAACGCGCGGGGAGGGGCGGGGCGGGGGGGTGCGGTGCCGAAATAAAAGTGGTCGGGAGAAGGGGGGCACTGGGCGAAACAAGCGTCAGGATGCCGCGGGGGCGTGAGACGGCGCGGGGAGGGGGCGGAGCGGGGGGGGGGGGGGGGGCGCCGGCGCGGTGCCGAAATAAAGTGGTCGTGGCGGAGGGGGCACTGGGCGGGCGCTGGAGCCGCGCGGGGGCGCTGAGACGGCGCGGGGGAGGTGGCGCTGAGACGGCGCGGGGGAAGGGGCGGAGCGGGGGGGGGAACCGTGCCGAAATAAAATGGGTCGGGGCGGAGGGGCACTGTGCGGGGCGCGGAGCCGCGCGGGGGCGCTGATACGGCGCGGGGAGGGGGGCGGTAGCTGGGAGGGGGTGCGGTGCCGAAATAAAGTGTCGTGGCGGAGTGGGCACTGGGCGCGCTGGGCCGCGCGGTGCGCGAGACGGCGCGGGGAGGGGGCGGAGCGGGGGAGGGGGGGTGCGGTGCCGAAATAAAAGTGGTCGGCGGAGGAGGTCACTGGGCGGGCCGGCTGGGCCGCGGGGGGGCGCTGAGACGGCGCGGGGGAAGGGGCGGAGCGGGGGAGGGGGTGCGGTGCCGAAATAAAGTGGTCGGGGCGGAGGGGGCGCTGGGCGGGCGCTGGAGCCGCGGGGGGGCGCTGAGACGGCGCGGGGGAAGGGGCGGAGCGGGGGGGGGTGCGGTGCCGAAATAAAATGGTCGGGGCGGAGGGGGCGCTGGGCGGGCGCTGGAGCCGCGGGGGCGCTGAGACGGCGCGGGGGAGGGGGCGGAGCGGGGGGGGGTGCGGTGCCGAAATAAAGTGGTCGGGGCGGAGGGGGCACTGGGCGGGCGCTGGAGCCGCGCGGGGGCGCTGAGACGGCGCGGGGGAGGGGGCGGAGCGGGGAGGGGGGGTGCGGTGCCGAAATAAAGTGGTCGGGGCGGAGGGGGCACTGGGCGGGCGCTGGAGCCGCGCGGGGGCGCTGAGACGGCGCGGGGGAGGGGGCGGAGCGGGGAGGGGGGGTGCGGTGCCGAAATAAAGTGGTCGGGGCGGAGGAGGCACTGGGCGGGCGCTGGAGCCGCGGGGGGGCGCTGAGACGGCGCGGGGGAGGGGGCGGAGCGGGGGGGGGGTGCGGTGCCGAAATAAAGTGGTCGAGGCGGAGGGGGCACTGGGCGGGCGCTGGAGCCGCGGGGGGGCGCTGAGACGGCGCGGGGGAGGGGGCGGAGCGGGGGGGGGGTGCGGTGCCGAAATAAAGTGGTCGGGGCGGAGGGGGCACTGGGCGGGCGCTGGAGCCGCGGGAGGGCGCTGAGACGGAGGGGGCGCATGATGATGATGATGTGGATGATGACGATGATGATGGTGATTATGATGGTGATGATTGTGAGGATGATGGTGATGGTGATGGTGATGATGATGATGATGATGATGATGATGATGAAGGGGGGGGGTGCGGTGCCGAAATAAAGTGGTCGGAGCTCTAGACACCCTGTGCAAGAGAATAACTTGAGAGGGAGTCTCGGGGATAACGGCTGCCGGACCACGCGATCTGGGCAGGCGGTTCCGGGCTCCCCGTCCCCCTCTCGTGAGACTCTTCAGTTGTATTTTTCGTCGTTGCTAGAAAGCCTTCTAGCGAAACGCTATTAGGCAACTTTGGAAACGCCAAACATGTTCTTTCCACATCTCGTCTTCGAGAGATTTTGGAGTCTTTGGGGTATCGTTGGGCGGTTTTTGGATGGTGCTAGAGCGTTTTGCAGGCGTTTTGAGGTCGACTGTGGCTGCCCTGGATTCATGTAGAGGCCGAATAGGGAGCTGGGGAGTAACTCTATGGGGGGGGCATTTTTGTTGGCCAATCGCTGGTAGGGGAGCGTTGCCTCTGGAACACTGCCGAAACCCCACTGGGCGACCAGCTTACATTCTGAGACGTGCCCGCGAGCCGGAGGCACGGTGGCGGATCGCCCAGTTCACCCCGTCTACGTATCCAGGCCTGGGGTCGCAAAGTCCCATGGAGGAGGCCACGGCCATTTTCGTTATCATTTCCAGCATGGCTCTGATGGGCTCGATGGTGTCCAGGATGGTAGCCATGATGAACCAGCTGAATGCGATGGTCGCCGAGCGGCGAAGAACCCAGCGGCAAGTCCAGCGGTACCTAGTCGTCAACAAGATCCCAGCGGAGTTGTCTGTTCGCATCCAGCGCTGCGTG